CTTGGGGTATGACTTCTGGATTGTGTCAACCCATTCTAGGTTTATCAGTTTAAAATCTTCTAAGGCCTGCTTCAAGTAGCCTGTCACTGTCAATACCTTTCCGTAACGCGCCTGCCATACCAAGTGCCACTGTAATAGCTGCTGGAAGGAAGATATAAGTGACATTTCGATATGACCTCCACACATGCAGACAATGTAAGCGTGTGATCATGACACTCTGTTGTTTAATGAGAACCAAGGACGTCTTCAATATTGGTGTCATGGGGCTAATGACGTCAGCTTGGCGTAACGTCACCACCCTGGGCTTACGAGCAATAAAAGCTTTCAGTAAGGCAAACCATGTCTTAGCAAAATAGGTTGACCATACGTCCGTTTTTTCACTCTTACAGTCCCTTCCCATCCCCTTTTTTTTGGGGGGGGGGGGAATATCTCCCGAATAGAACTTGTATGTAGGTATACACACAAATACAAACTAAAAGGGAAAATAAGTAGATCTACATTAGTAGAAAGATCTACACTACATAAGTGGAACCAGTAAAATTACTGCAAGCTAGCCAAATAGGGAGAAACACTATAATTATAAATAATTAATAATGCGTATACAGCTTTTAGGCATGTTCAATATAATTTTCTTTACATGTGAGGTCCTTAATGAAAAGTAATGAAAAAATATTCTAAAATATTTTTTTTTTTTTCAGGAAAGGAGTGGAAAGGGAGAACGACTTGCCTAGGATGTCTCATTTTCAGCTCAAAATAATGTGATCAAAATAACAGAGAAACAGAAACTACAACAGAAATTACCTTACATTTTTAGCTTAGGTAATATCCAGTATGAAAATTAGTGAGTGAACTAAGCAGCTTTCTTTTCTTAGATAATTTATTATTCAGCATGGATGTATCATTTTGCACTTTTCTATAGTTGTTTAAAAAAAAAAAAAAAAACTTCTGCCAGGATGGCATCGCTATAAAAGCAATGATTACTTCAGAACAACACTCACCACAGACACTACCTATTTCGTCATTGAAATATACCTGTTTATCACATAAAACAATATGCATAAACACTTTTTTGTATGTGATGTTTATAGGCTAGAAATGTTGTTTCCAAATCAGCTGATATAAGCTTCTGTATAGCTATATACTGCAAAAGTCAATACGATTGAAAACTTTGAAGGGTATTTCAAACCTCCACGGTCAAGCAGCTGTATGTAGTTTGTGGACATTGCACTTGAATCAACATCATATGCTAATGACCTGTCCATCGGCAATATAGCGTACAGGACATTGACTTTTTTCCAGCTTGCTAGAGACTAATCCAGCAATATACACAAGCAACTCTTCAGAACCTTCCGAAACCAAAGATTTACAGCCATTTGGGCTATGGAAAAAAAAAAAAAACCATTGTTCGCATCCAGCTAAACAGCACCAGTAACGATATCATCACCATTTTAACCTTTATTGTTGCTAAGAAACAGAGAGGTCACGGATAGAAACATCTCCTTAGGTTAATGAGCAGTGAGGTAATTTTACTTTTATTTTTTGATTCTAAAACTAGCTGAACAGATACTAGTTTGCTTCTATTAACTGGCGACGTTAACTTAACTGAGGTTCTAAGATACCTGTCTGCAGCTTTCCAAGAAGTGTAAAACTGGCGTCTCTAGTTGCAAACATATATTTTATCAAAGAAGGCATTGCGGTCACTGTATGCAGCACAACATCGTATATTTTCTTGGTCAGTTTTCATTTACAGCCAGTCAGCCTGTCCTATTTTTTTTAACCCTTTAGCAAACTGTTCAAGATAATTTATTTGTTCGTCCTTATCAGACAATATAGGATTTAAGAATGAGTTCAGTGTCTTTTTAACTACAAATTTAATTTTTAAATTTTTAAAATAACAATATGCCACCATCTAAGAATGCGCCCCCCACCCCCTACCCCCACCCCCCAAAAAATCTGCGGTTTAATTACTGCCTACTTAACGCAGAGAATCAACATTGTATTTACTAAAAATTGCCAAAGCAAGAGGAAGTTCTATCTGTCCATGCTGGAGGGATAAATGGCTTTGTAGGAAAGTTTAGGTTCCAGTTTTGCAATATTCATTTCCTCACTTTAATAAAGTTTCTTAAACGAGAAAAGTTTGCAACTGCAGCTCTATCAGTTTCACAGGCGTTTAGCGTTTGTCCAGCTATTAAAGAATATGTAAATTTCTGGTCTGCGTCCTTCTAGTTGATCCGATTCCTCCAAATGCATTTTAGCAAGTGCACAGACTCTTGCATAATTTTTTTTTAATCAGCAGGATCTGGGTTCTCAATACATGCGATTAACGGCACTCATCATCATCGTGTAGCAGGTCCTTTGCAGAAGGTCGCTCTCATCACGGTCTGCCTGAAAGAAACTCGATCTCTCGCCAGCTCTCCCGCCTTATGTACTTTCATACGCAAGGAGTCACGTACATCCTGTGCCATCTTCGTGTCGGTCGGCCCCTTCCCCATCTTTCTGGTACCATGCCTTCTGTTATTTTTTTTTCCAGTCTGTCGTGGCGCTTGATATAAATAAAATATGTCAGCTTCCGAGACCGGCTGCTGTTTTTTGGCCAATCTTCCTTGATGTTCAGATCTTTTAAGATGTCAGTATTTCCCATCTTCTTTGTCCAAGATAATCTGAAAATCTTTCTAAAGCATTTCAGCTCAAAAGCCCCTTTTCTCTTGCTTAAGGACTGGGAGATAGTTTACGATTCACATCCGTATGTTGCTACAGGGAAGATGCAGGCTCTCAAAATTCTAATTTTGATATCCTTGCTGGTACTTAACCAAAGACTTTTAAGGCTGTTTAATCTTTGCATTGCTTTGGCCGCCCTCATTTTATTTCTGTCAAACAGTCTCCATTGCTATTTATTATAGAGCCTAGATATTTAAAGTTTGTGACATTTTCAATTTCTTCACCTTTTTTTTTTTTTTTTTTGCAGTCAGTTTTGTCCGTGGACATTATTTTCGTTTTCTTGTGATTTTAACTGTGCCTTTGGGCAGACAATATTAAATTTTCTTTTCACTTTACACTGTTCTAAAAAAGGACTGTGTCATATGCGTAGCGAAGTTCCGGAAGAAGGTTGCCACCAATTTTCAGAAATCATAATTGTCACAAGTCTGGTCATTTTATTAAGGGCACTATCAGCAATTACATCAACTACTGTGAAGCCATACTTCTGTACAACATGGAGTAATTTAAATGCAGATCCTAAGATGTCAATCTATTCATAGGTGAAAGTTATATTACTTTCTGATCTTATTATTTTTCTGTAGCTTTCTGAGCCCTTGAGGTTCATTGAGCAGATATCACCGGCCTCCATTCATCTCTCTGGTTGTCTTCTCTTTTCAGTTGGTAACATCAAGTGTTTGTAAGTCTGTCTGGACGTTATCTCTCCATGGTATTCTTGGTCTCCATTGTGGTCTACGACCATTCATCTCCCTGGTGTATAACGTTTTTACTTCTCTGTCATCTGACATTCTTTCAATATGCCCCAACCATTTTAGTCTGTTAGCTCTCATAATGACAGTGATCAATGGTAATTTGAACAGATTATGAATTTTGTTGTTGCTTCTCACTCTCCATTCCCCGCTGTAATAAGGCTTCATCATTTTTAGTTGTGCTCCAAGTTGGCTATACAAAACCATTGGTCTTATCAACGTTTTATATATTTTGATCTTGGTATGAGACGGACACTTTGACTTTACCAGATGTTAAAGGGTAAAGTATACTTTATTTCCAGATTGTATTCTAGATTGTATGTCTGCCCTCAGCATACTGGAGCACTTGAAATTTGCACCCAAGTACTTTTATGTTTCCGTTCCTTTGATTTACCTATTATCGACTAGTATGTGGCCAACATTTATTTGCTTTCCCTGTCTAGTTATTATCATGTATTCTGTCTTATCTTGACAGACAACTAGTCCCAGTGTTTTG